TGATGTTGTATGCGAGACGTTGTGTGTGGGATGTTGTCTGAGTGATGATGTTGTGAGAGATGTTGTGTGAGAGATGTTGTGGTAGAGAGGAGGAAGGAGGAAGGCGGAAGGCGGAGGAGGAGGAGGAGCGAGGAGGTGCAGCAAAAAAACAAGAACCCCACACAACAATGTGGGGAAAAACCGACGAAAAATGATCAAAAATGGTTACGTAAAGCTTATAGCTTCAAAACCTCTAGAAAATAAAGCGTTGAAAATGGAGACAAATTTTGAGGAGATATTTTGGTGCAGGAAAGATCTTGGTGCATGACTAGGCGCAAAACACTGTACATTGCACTAAATTACAATGTTTTTGCAAAATGTATGTAGTTTATGAACAACGCTGCTCGTACTCTGGCGATGCCAACGGTGCTCGACACAACTGCTACCTCAAAACTTCCTCTCCCCTTAGCATACTTTCTTCTTTAGAGATAAAGCTTTCCAGTAGCCATTTTTGCACATGTTTCCTCTGTTTTTGATGTTTTTCCACATAAATACATACGTCCTGGTGATGTTATGTCGGTTCGCGGCTGGCACCACCTGGGCTTGTATGGCTTCTTCAAAAATCCGTACTTTGTAACGGAAAACACACAAAAAACTGTATTCTCGCAACATTTTCTGGCCTAAAGCTCTCTGTGTTTACAGGGCTCGCGGACGCGAAGGTGGCTCCAACTTTGCCCATTGGGTGTGCCCGCGCCCGCAGGCGTAAGAACCTGTGCTAATCGTCGGATTTTGCTGTGCAAAGAGCCTCCGGGCTGAAAAGGACCCTGCGGATACGCGCAGTCCCCCCCAAGGGCATCGCTGGTTGGCGAAGCCTGTCAGTATAAAGATATATAACATTGAACATGTAACTACAAGCGTCTGCCAAACCTCTGGCAAGGTGACTATCAGTTGCCTGCCCCGTTGATACTTGATACCCTCCGAAAGCCGATTTGTCGGCTTTCACCTCTTTCTTGCTACCTCGAAAAGGTGAGCTAAGTTCTTCAGGGTGATTGCCATCTTGGACACCAACATGTTGAACGCCTTTTCGGATGACTGTAAAGTTATGGATCAAGGGGTTCTGCATGTCACTAGACATTGCGCAACTGTCAAGCGTTGAAAGCTCTGCCAAGAGAGGGGCCTGAGCCTGTTGGTGCCTATCACATTTCCGCCAAATTCAATTACTACAAATGTTCATCCCTTCTTTTGGAGGGCACTACAGTGAAAAGATGTGAAAAGTGCGTTGTACCTTTCCTTCCAAACATCCACTTCAATATATCTCATTGCTTTGAAGCTTGACGCAGTGATGGCAAATGTGCATCGAGGGACAACCCAATGATGCCATGAGCAACGCCTCGCATCAACGGTCTGGGAACACCAGAGGAGTAGGCGCTCCGCCAAACCATGGCCAAGGGGCCAAGCTGATTTGAAGATTTGCACGCTCACAAACCCTTCCAAAACAGAACAGAATGTGAATCTGTGTGAAAGCAACTGTTGCTTGAACGATACTGGAGTTGCCACTGCACCTGGCGCTTGGATCATGCAGCTTGGTACTTGATATGTCCTTGATCCTTGTTCTTGCACACAGAGCTCCGGCATGAAATGCAACACAATGTCAAAACACCATAAACGCCTACTGAATCTCAGCGTCACCTGGCCAAGACCGACACCACAACATGCGAAAGGTCAGCGTGCACAATCCTTTTTCTGGATGTGTATTCAACCATTCCTGTCCCTGGCTCAATCTCTGCGAGGCAATTTACTTATAATTGAAATGTAATTGAAATATATATAGACTAGATATTGAAAGAACATATCTACAAGTGAATGAACTCGAAGCAATGACAATCCAAAAACATGTAAGGACATCAGTATCCGGTGAAACAACCTAATCAGCGAAGACTCGGCAAAGACTGGCTAAAATGTAAGGCGCATGGAATCGCAACCTGTCGAAGTGGCGTTTCGCCCCCAAGGGCACAATGAGGCTTTCAAAAGTCCGTGCACACATATAAGCCTTGCCTCAAACGGACACTAGCCTCTTCTAGAATTGTGAGTCCACAAAACGAAGCAACGGACATCTTGCTTGCAACCTCATGGCACCTGAAATAATTTTCAAAAATCCTGTTGGGACAATTCTTCGAACTTGTTCGTATGTACAGTATGCATGGGAGTATTTCCCCACTTGGCTGGCCTTTTCATCTGCAACCTAGTGACTAGTGCCCTTCTCTGGTTTACAGGTGTGTGGCAACAATGTTGAAATCCATTGCATTCTCATGCATTGCCAAAATACTTTGTATCACCTACAGCACATTGTCCCAGCTTCATTGCTCCTTTGGGTGAGACAAAATGGCAGAGGTCAAACGACCACACTGGAAAACCTCGAAGCCAAAAAGAACACGAAAATACAAGCCAGGAAAAAATCTAGGAATGTAGACCGTCTTCGTTCAAGAAGTAAGTGCATCTTCACCCAAGCAGCGAGAGGTCTAGATGTATGAATCAACACCACCGTGTCATGCAGTGCAGGCCGTAGGATCATGTCTGAGTTACCAGCTTTGGACACGCATCACATGCCTGCGAGCACAAGTCGCACAGTGTGTCAAGCCACAGTGTGCGCTCACTGCCAAGTCACGGGTTGTGAGCAACACAAGAAGCCAAATCAGAACTGTTTCTTTGGTTCACGGCAAAAAAATAGGAGAACAAATGCGCTTCATGCGCCAGGGCGTGCGGCAGGAGCTTTTTTCATCTGCTTTTTTCGCTTCGCCAAATGGCTTCGACGTCTTCCTGAGCCCGAGGGCCCGAGGAAAAGCTTGAACAAACACAAAGAATTATCTGTCTAAACTCTGCACCCCATACCAAACAAATCATCCTCGAAGGATCAACAAAGAACTTCCAACGATGAGGTCACCTGTGGAATCAGCAATCAGCGAAACTATGAAAATGGTCAGGTAAAAAAAATAATATTTATATATATATATATCTTTTTACATGTATATATTTATATATTGTATATTATGTGTATATATATATATATTGTATATGTCGTATAAACTATAGTCGAAAAGGAGAGGGGAAACAATGTCAGAGCCCCTATTATAAGCCCCCTGACACGTATTACAGTATACAAAGGGGCCCTTGCCTTCCTTCTCTCAAAATTACAACTGAAATATCTGAGGAGCTATGCGCCGCAGCAGGTCCTTTCTCTCACGGCGCTGGTCCTGACACAGAAAAACAGCTCTGCCAAAGCGCTGGTCTTGGCTGGAGTAATGTTCTTGCGTGCACAATCACCAGAGCTTGTCCACAAAGCAGCTTACATTGGTGAATTAGCACTGGCAGGATGATAATCGGGCAACTCACACACTAAAAGTCTCATGCAGCATTCTCTACATAACATAATTTGATCGTGCTTGCGCCTCAGATTTTATGGGTGTTGTTTCTGGGTGCGTGACTTGTGGAACGGCACGGGGGACACGCGCAAATCTAAGATGTAATCTGCACTGTCAAGGCCAACCAACCTTTGTTCAACCAAAACAAAGTCATCGAACCTCAAATTGCCTGGCCTCGTTGGCGCACTCCAAATCATCCAAGCAATCTGTCGCCTCCTGCAGGAGGCGCCAATCCTGGCGACTTAGTCATTTCACAGATTAGACTCAATTCCCATCTGTACATTATATAGAGGGAGATAACGGGCATCCACTTCCCTGCATTCACGGTTGTATTCGGAAACCAAACGGTTGTATTCGGAAACTGGTATGCGGAAACTACAGAACTATATTGGGAAACTGGTATTCGGAAACTGGACGGCTGTATTCGGAAACTGGGACGGTTGTATTCGGAAACTGGAGGGATCCTGTAAACTACGAAGAGCAACACCAAGACCATTCATTTATTCATAGACCCAGCAGAAAATCACACCTCCGGTACACAACCCACCTATGTTTATTGCCCCCCCACCCCCCCACCCCACCCCCACAAATTTTACAGAATACAAGGAACATAGTTTCTGAATACAACGCAAATAGTTTCTGAATATATACAACGAACATAGTTTCTCAATACAACGAAAATAGTTTCTGAATACGACGACGAAATAGTTTCGAAATACGACGAAAACCGTTTCGGAATACGACGGCATAGTTTCTGAATCCCACGGTTTCTGAATACAACGCAATAGTTTCTGAAGACTAGTTTCTGAATACAGCACAGTTTCTGAATACGACTTTGTTCACTTCCCTGATTCCTCCGCTGATTTTCCATCAGATCTGGTCCGTCAGCTGTCGGCTAGAATGTTTCAACTAACAACCCAACTATGTTTTAAAATAGGTATGTTTCGCCAATGTCGATCCTGCTATGCGCTGCTTTCTTGTTTGACCTTTACGGTTGGGAATGCAGCCCTTCTTGGGGACTACATGGTTGCTCGGCGTGATTGACTTGGGAACTTAGGAAACATGTGCAAACATCCTTTCGCATTCAAGTTTGCTTCAATCCAACTATATATATATACTTTCCATAAGGGGAAAGTAAAAGGCGCTGCTAAATTGAATTTCAACTCGTGGCTTTGCATTGAGGTTGTGCCTTCTCTGTGGAAGAACAATGGACAAAAACAGTGGCTATTGTGTTTCAACATCTATACTGCGCAATTTCTTATGTGTTCAATCGACATGTTCAATTAAAAACTGGTAGCGGTAGGCTCATTACCATGCTGGTGGTTGCAGTGTATTCTTAGATTGCTGTTTTAGTGAACATATGAGATGTCCGGCAGGCCAGGCAGTTTTCGACGTCGGGAAGTTGACTCTTTCAACATAATCTGTCTTGAATCTTGAACTTCTGCAACAGAAGTCGCGTGATGTTGATGAAAATACTCCGAAATGCACGTTTGGAGCTTTTCTCCGCACTCTTTTCTCCATGAGGTATTGTGTTAAAGGAAAATAACAATGACACTGCCAAGGTTGCAAGTATAGTTTTGCAACCACGAAACATCGTCGGCGGTAGATGCTCAAGGTGGACGGCTCCCAAAGCTCGAGGACAAGGCGAGAGAATCCAACGGTATGGAAAAAGCACAATGTAATACACATAAAACACGACGTCCCAGGAACCCTTAAGAAAGAGACAAAGAAAGACGAACGGTGCATCTATGCAAAAGCCATTCAAAGGCCAACAAGTTTGCATGTTCAGCTAAGACATCCCAATTTATGCATGGCATGCCATTTTCCAACGAAGGTTGAAGTACAAATAGAAAGGCTGCTCCGGACAAAAAAGAACATTACAGGAATCAATATATCTATGATATCGGTCTAGCGTAAAGGGGTTTCTCTGCCAAAGAACAAGCACTGCAAAACAACTGAATGAATGGACAAGGATGACAGCTGTTGAAGTATATTTGAAGACCTGCTGGTGAGCACGTTTATCAACCCCTTATCTCGACCTAGTTCTTCTATTTGTCCAGGAACCCTGCCACGGGAGGAATATGCAGCCTTCTATGTGAAGATATGTCTTGATATCTTCTATAATAGTTTCCCGTACTATATCGCAAACGCCAATGCAACGACAACACCACAGGCCATCCTGCTGGCAAACCAAAGCATTGCTGCAAATGATCCGCAGAAAACTAAAATAGAACCCATTACTATTACCTCCCACCCACCCACCCATCAACCCTAACGTGTCAAAATGGCGGCATATGTGCACCCCTTCTTTGAAAAAGTTGCATCACTACACGCGCAGGCAAAAACTAGTACGACTACCTAATGTGCCAGCAGCCCATAGATATGACACCGTGTTTGAGCATAGTTTCCAATCCTCAAACTGAACATTCAGCTGGCTCATAAATTCCTGTTGACACTGGTATCCACTCTGATGCTACAACTCCTGTCGTGGTTCACAGGAGCTTTCAAGAGACTCCACCAACCGTCTGCTGGCAGCGAGGCTCTGCCTCGGGGCATTCGGCTACCTTTATTTTGCCGTGGACATGAGCTGTTGAACTGGGCTGGGACTCGCTCCAAAGCTGGTGAAAAGCCCCTAATATTGAATCTGACAACTGACGTGAACTATCCGACAGTCTCGGCTAGAAGACTTGTGGCAATCAAACTTGTAAGAACGCCTGACACAAGATAAAGCTTTGTGTCAACCTAGAAACCGACGCTGCTTTGGCGATCCGTCAGTGAAACAACAGAAAGTGGAAGATGGAGAGCTAGAGTGGAGAAGGAGTGAGCAGAATTGACGCACGACGTTCTGTCAAGTTCCCATACCTGTCCATGCCATGGTACAAAGTGTTCTTTGTGCGGCGATCTATTTCACGCTGAGCCTGCCTCGGTTCAGTAAACATGCTTGACTCTGGACATGATTGGAAAATGAACCAAGAAATGTTGCCTGCAGTCAAGCTTCTTTACGACTCAAAATAGCAGAAAAAAATGAGAGATCTCATCAACTAAGAGTTAGACTGATGTACCATAGAACAGCTGCCTTTCAAAAGCGGTACATTGCTTTTGTCTTGGATTCACTGTCCTTGTTGAACGTCGGACCACAGCGATGCCCAGTGGCTCGATGCGCTCGATCAAGGCCTTGCGCGCTTGCCTTGCTTCGCTGCCAGGCTCCAATGAGAGGCCGTCCAATTTCTCTGCAGCCTGGGGAAGATTCAAAAGGATAAGGAAAAGGCAAGGATAAGATATTGAGTACAAAAACAATGTAGGAACAAAGAAAAATATTTTGGAGGGGGGAACTCCAGTGAATCGAATGGAACTAAGAGATGGGCAAGGCGAATGTTAATGCCTCATGTTTTGCGAGTTCTTCTAGGCCTGAAGATACAGCGTCAAAGAAAAAAAATGTACGCCATAGACCAAATTAAAGCAAAGGAATATCGAAGAAAAAGAAAAAGCAGGACAAGCCCAGAAGAAGCTTCTGCTGAAGGAGATTGCGTCAATGAAGCTTGAAACTTCAGAGAACATGCTGATTCAAGAGTCGCACTTGCAACATGGAAGTACTTTTCCCACCTTGGTCAACTCGTCATCCCATCCACGCGAGCCACCTGCAGCATGATCTCACAGTTTCTTGAACACTACGATTACCGTGCAATGAATCAATGTGTTGAATTGCAAGGCGTGTTCCCAAGCAGTAAGGCTGTATCAAAAGTCCCTCATATGTCTCTAAACTACCTGCATGCCGAGAAGTTGCCGTTCAAAGTTACTATCTGGGGTTGGACCACGGCCGGATACCAACGGCATCTTGCAAGGCTTGCCGTTCCACTCACTGAAAGCTTCATGGAAGGACAAAACTAGAAATGATTCATCCAAGAATCGTAAGTGCTCATGCGCTGCCTCCCATGCAGTCGGGGGAAACAGGCAAGACCCAAGAAATCGTGGGCAACAAAAGCTGCAAAAAGGATATGAAAGACCCAAGACAGTACAGTTTGTGCTGGGTGTCAGCTTCCTTCAAAACATACACATCCTCCAAGTCTGCCACAAGCAACTAAGTGATGTTTTTAGTGCGAGGTCCATCTCAGGCTCAAAACACAAAAGTAAAAATTGTTGAATAGGGTGAAGCCGTGGTCTTTGCTATTCCAGGGAAATCATGCGCTGCACCAAAACAAGGTTCTAGAACGAATGAGCTTGGTAGTATTCACTTTGCAGCTGTAGCCGTCCTGCTGCTCCAGCATAGTAACCTGCTGCTCAATCTTGTGCAGGGTCTGCACTGCAGGATCCACCAGAACTTCAGGTGGAGGTTCTCTGTACCCAGATGCACCCGCCATCTCTCGTGGCACTGCAGGTTCCTCTTCCTCTCCAAAAACATTCTGCACATTCCTCAGTTGAGGTATATCACCACAAAAAACACACGTCTCCGTCTCCCTTTATCAAGTTGAGACTAGTACAGTACTGCCGCTGCTGTAGATTAGGGTCCATCAATTCTGCAAGCCAAGCTTCCTACTCAGCACTTCAAAGGCGCCTTCGAAGGCACTGCTCACACCTAAAAAGTTCAGGAACGCAAAAGAATGTCTGGACATATCTGAGAATAATATGATTATCTCAATCTCTCCCGAAGATGACGTTCAATCAACATGGGAGTATGACAGCACACCACATTGATCAACATAAGATAAAATTGTGATGCAGCTGCTTCGCTTGATCGGCTTGACGTTGTGCAGGTTTTCACATCCGCTGGTTTTTCACTCACAGGCATCCAGATGACCCTTCGCATCTCGCGGAGAAAACAGCATTTGCTTTGCGTGCTTTGCTTGCTTGGGCCGACCTTGTTTTTCCCTAGGCTGCTTTTGGGGGACTCTTTGGTCTTAGAGGGATTGGCCGCCGTTGAAATCCACATTGGTAGCGGAGCTAGAGGGCGGACTAGGAAGATCTAGGCTGCCTGCTGCACACTTGCCTGATGGCTGTCGCCGCGCCTGGTGATGGTGGGGCCGCTTTGGCTAATGAAGCTGCGGCGCAGATGAATGCCGCTGACCTGTCGGGGACATCGTGGATCCCTGCCCATTCCCTGACTGCGAAGGAGCAACCGCATGAGAGCCCGTCTCTCCGTGCGCTCCTCCTCCAATCCAAGGGTCTCCCCCTGGTGATTGCCAGGGATCTGGCTCCGTCGGGAGCGGCCTGTTTCCTTGGGGCCACATGTAGGACCAGTGAGTCAACCCTCCAACCCACTGGAACCTACCAACTATAACCTGGAAGGGCCTCCAGGAATAGTGGTTCCTTCAGCACCCAATGGCATGGCAACCACAACAGACACAGCCATAAGCGGAACCCCAACAGCACAAGGCATGATGCCTGGCATGGTACATGTGGGACCATGCCCCTGCCAGGGAGCCACCTGGCCAATGCCACCAGGGTTCATGAATGCACATGGACCTCCAGTCACGGCACCAGCATTCGCACATCCTCATCCATGTTCTGGCACACCTCCTATGGGCTTTGCACCACCGATGGCTGCACATCCATGTTTGGGCTTTCCTCCGACCGTTCCATGGTCAACCTTCCCGTGGGCCGACATCGTCCCATGAAGCACCACCGAAAGGTACGAAGATGCCTCAAGGACCACCAGAACGAACCTCCACCAGATGATGATGATCCTGATGAGGAGTCGTCAGTCCACACCTCAGACATCAGGTCCATGCTTCGACAGCGCATCAAGAAGGAAGGTGATGGTTGGCAGAGACCCAAAAGCTCATTGGGCTCAGTGCGCATCGAAGAGTACTGGGGAGAGAGATCCCGCTATGTCAAATGGAAGCGCACCATCCAAGCTCAGCAATGTCTCCATGGCTTGGAGTCCCAAGAGCTGGCTATGTTGGTGTATTTGAGCACCCGGAAGGAAGCCAGAGATGTGGTCGAACAACATCCAGTCACTGCCTATACTGGACCAGGAGGTCTTCAGTTGTTGTGGCGGGTGCTCGACGAGGCCTTCGGCGAGTCAGAAGCTGAGTTGTTTGAGAGGGCTGACAAAGAGCTGGAGAAGTATAGGAGAGCGCCTGGAGAAAGCATTGCCCACTATTTGGCAGAGATGCGCCGTCTTCGAGCACAGTACTCCAGGGTGGACCCAGACACCAAGCTCTCCGATCGTGCCTGGGCTCAGAAACTACTCCAGAAGGCTTCACTGGGCAGGAAAGACAGGTACGATGTGTACTACAGTGCTGGCGCCACCTATGATCCCGTGGCCATTGAAAAGGCCCTTCGTGTCCGATGTCAGAAGACCCATGAAGATGAATGGCGGACACCCTCCAGGACACCTCATCGAGAGCGTGATCGTGATCGAGAAGAAGACCCAAAGCCGAACTACTTCAAGAAGAAGAAAGTGTTCATCAAGAAGCGGGTACACACCACCCACGTGGCAGAGGGAGGAGAAGATGAAGACGAAGAGATGCCAATGGAGCAAAGCCCTCCTGAAGAAGAGCCAGCGGGTGAAGTACCGCCAGATGAAGATGAAGAAGCCGATGAGGAGGAGGATAATGTGACCAGCGATGGTGAGATGGAGGAGGGAGAACTGAAAGAAGCCTTTGCCGCAGGGTGGAAGGCCAAACAGAAGGTGGCAGACTTCAAGAAGCACCGAGGATGGAAGTCCACCTACAAGAAGGGTGAGCGGGGGCATCAGACGATAGATGCCCGAAAGAAGGCCACCACTTGCAGCAGCTGCGGAAAGGCTGGACACTGGCGAGGAAATCCAGAGTGTCCCAACGTGGCCAATGGACGAGATCAGCCCCATCAGCCACACAAGAAAGCCACGATGGTCCACTACACCTGCATGGTCTCCGGTGGAGGAGACAGCCAATGTCCCCAATGCCATTGGCCGATCTTGGAAACGGCCAAGTTCTGTGGGGAGTGTGGCTATGCACTTCATCCTGATGAGCGGATGTCCAGACAGCCGAAGAGGCAAGGCGATGAAGATGGTTGGGAGGAGGTCGATGGGCCACCAGAGCGCTTCGGTTTTCAGGTCAAGAAGAACACCCTGACTGGAGCCAAGCCCAAGGCAACACCAAAGGCATTGGTCCCTCCGGGCCATGTGCGCCTACAAGGACAAGAACTGCTGGCAGCTCTTCCGAACATGACTAAGGAAGAAAAGAAGGCCTTGCAGGCAGCTCTCCAGGACGAAGATGACAAGGACATTGAGAAGCGAAGGCAGCTGTATAAGAATCTGATGGCCGAGTGGAGCCATTACGATGACTATGAACCCACTGCCAGGGAATTGTTTCCCGATGATCCAGATTCCACTCGCTTCGAAGCCTGGCAGGCCAGAAGGAAGGGCTATGCCGATCAAGATCCTTCTGCAGCAGCCTCACGCAGTCAGATGCCTGTTGCACCAGCACCAAAACAAGACAAACCGAAAGCAGTGAAGGAAAAGGAACTCCTCCAGTTCCGAAGGGGGCTATATGAACAACAACTCCGGCACAATCGGTGCATCCCTTCCACTGCAGCCAGTTGGCCGAATGATGAGCAGAATCGATGTCCGCACCACTTTGATGACTTGAAGTGGTCGGCCAATGCAGAAGGACATTTTGCACGATGCCGCGCCTGTGACTTGAAGCATGTCATCTACTACTCCAACAGGCATGGCACTATGATGGTCTCCATGCACTCGCCACGCGAGGGTGTGGGAGACAAGGCACGAGTCTGGATTCGTGAAGATGAAAGGGCAGCACAGTTCCAATGGGTGAACAAGGGAGGTCCTCCCCAAGAACAAGTCAAGTGCCGGGTCACCAAGGATGTGCATGGCCACTGCATTGAGATTAAATACCTGACTGGTCAAGAGACGATGAAAGAACTCACCCAGCCACTGGACGGACCACCAAGGACCCTGCTGACAGAGTTCTCGTATGACCCGATGGAGGAAGAAGAGCCACAGTCCAATGTCCACTTCATTCAAGCTCAAAAGCCTGGTTTGGCTATTGCCGATTCCGGTTGCAGGAACTCGGTTGGAGGAGAAGCTTGGCACCAGCACTTTCAACAGGCACTACGAGAGCATGGAATCCCGTGGTCGGAGGTGGCGGAGAAGGAAGTGTACAAGTTTGGAGCAGGAGCCCCTATCGTCAGCAAGACTGCGTGCCTCTATCCTGTCCTGGTTCACGGGCATCCAGACATCGTGAGGATGTCCACTGTGGGAGGAGGAGGTGCTTCCTGCCCTGGCCTCATCGGACCAGGAGAACTCAGTCGATGGAATGCCGTCTTTCACTTCAAGGAGAAGCAGATGGAGTTGAATGGAGTGAAGAAGGAAATGAGGCTGACAGCAACAAGACACCCCGGCATCGAGCTCATGGACCTCAGCAAGGAAGGCCTGGACACCCTCCGGAACTTCTGGTCCTCCGAAGGTGCAGAAGAGAAGCGAAAGATTCTGATGGACGCTCCCCAGTCGTATGCCTTCCTGACTGGCTCGAGCACCAAGGTCTCAGAAGAGGAAGAAGAAACCAGTTCCCAGGCCGATGAAGAGTCAGAAGAAGAAAAGAAGAGGTTCCATGAGAAGGATGATCGAACAAGGAAGGTGGAAGAATGGACCCAGCAGCTTGAAGATCTTGGCGTCATCATGGTGCCCTCAGTACCAGCCGCTGAGGAGAAAGAAGAGGAATCCAGCACGGCCAGTGACACTGATGGACATGACTCCTCCACCTCTCACGAGAAAGGAGTGGACTTCCTCACAGAGTCAGAGTCCGATGAAGATCCAATGCCGTCAAGGAGCTGGGTGTCGGAAGACAAGCCAATGTACAAAGGCCTGAAGCACCGCCTGGGACATGCCCTGAATGAAATCAAGCAGTGCTTCAAGGTTGAAGAGAAGATCCAAAGGAAAAGAAAAGAAGAAGATGGCCGCAAGCACCAAGAAGAAGGTCCAAGTGGTACAAAAAGGGGCGTGAAGAGAAAGCGGCCATGGACAATGGTGGAGATTTTCTCCTGGACTTGTGCCATCACTATGGTGGCTTCGCTCCAAGGATGGCATGCTTCAGAACCCATCTCCCTGCCACACTGGGACCTGCTCAAGAGCAAAGATCGCAAGGACGCTCTGACCTACCTGAACACTTTGGATCCTGATGCGATGGTCATCGCATGGCCTTGCACAGTTTGGAGCCCCCTGCAGGAGTTTGGTCGCAAGTCACCATGGCAAAGAGAAAGACTTGAAGAAAGAAGAGAGGAACAACGGGAGCTGCTGGGCTTTGTACGAGATGCGAGCCATGATCAAAGGCGCCGAGCTGGTCTTCTCCTCGGCGAAAACCCAAAGCCGTCTTCGGCTTGGAAGGAGCCCCTCATCATCGAAGCTTTTGATGGTATGGGCTCGGCAATCACCGACATGTGTCAATATGGGCTCAGGATTCCTGGAGGAGGACCGTTTCTGAGGAAAAGAACTCGGCTTGAAGGAACACCGGAGTTGGTCCACCACCTGGCACGCACATGTCCTCAAACACACCAGCACACTCCAGTGTTGGGTGGCATGCGCTATGGAGACAAATGGATGAACGTCTCCGATTTTGCAGGCGGATACACCACTCGTTTTGCACAGGCAGTGGTGAAACAAGCTGAGCGTATCTTGGAAGAAAAAGGAAGACAGCCTGAAGTGTTGATCACATGTGCCTCCTTCCCTGAAGAAGATTTAGATGAAGAAGAAGGGGAGGGAGAGAAAGAAGTAAAGAAAGAAAGGCCACAAAGCTGGAAGATCCAACAACTGCACAACCGCTTGGGACATCCCACCAATGCTACTTTGAGCAAGATGCTTTCCCTAGCAGGTGCAACAAGGGAGACCATCCAGCTGGCCCAACAATTCCAGTGTCCTACCTGCCAGGAGACACAAGCACCAGCAAGATATTTGAAGGCCAGTGCAGAGATGAGAACTACCATTTTTGGACGAGAACTGCAGTGCGACCTGAAGTACCTCCATGATCACAAGAACAACTTGTTTGTGGCATTATCGATGGTTGATGGAGCCACATCCTTTCATCAAGCTGTTTTGCTGCGCAATAGAGCTGCTGAGCATGTTGCCCGCAAATGTCTTCGTCACTGGATCTCATTGTATGGATCACCTCAGACCATTGTTTTGGACCAAGGCGGAGAATTCGATGGTTACTTTACTGGTTTCCTGGAGCAACATGGCATTTTTAGCAAGGTTAGCGGCAGCAAATCAGCATGGCAGCACGGCTTTGCAGAGCGGCATGGAGCCTTGCTTGGCATTTACTTCCCTGGCATGGCAGTACAAAGTAGAAGGCAGAAGTCAAGTCAAAGATGCCCTATGTGCTGCCATACAAGCCAAGAATTCCACAATCACCAAGGGAGGCTACACGCCGTTCCAGCTTGCCTTTGGAAGGCAGCCTATGTTCCCTGATCTCTTGGAAGAAAATGTGGAAGGGAACATGTCATTGAGAGAGTCCCTTTCTCTTGAAGGTGAAGTCCAAAGGGCCGCAGAAATGAGGGCAGCCGCTCGAGCCACTCTTTTGAGGCACGATGTTCAGGCAAAACTGAGAAAGGCCCTGAGACGATGGCCAAAAGGAGAATGAACCAGGTGAATTGGTGTACTTCTACGCACCAAAACCCCTCAGCACCAGATTCAAGAAAGAACTGTCAGATCCGAGAGGCCTAGTGAGGATCGAAGAAAGCGCCTTTC